AAAATCAGGAACTAGAAGGAGCCGCCTCTGGCCACTTGGTTGCCAGAGAGAACGGTTGTCTTTCCAGGAAAGCTGAGGGGCTCTTTAGCAGAGCCCTTGGTTTTCTGTTTTGGAGAAAATGGGGCAGGCTGGGGGGGGGGGGGCATGGGGGGGCGGCACGGGGGAAGGGTTATCTCAGCTGAGGGTGGAAAGGAGGTGAAAAGGGGAGTTCATCTCAGGAGGGGGTGGGGTGGAGAGTAAACTATGACTAGATCCCTGTCATGGGCCAGCCGCTGCCCCTCTGCACCTCCCTCCCCACCTCCTCCAGGGCTCCCCGTTGTTACCAGAGACAACATGCTGTCTCCTTCACTCGCCTCACCCTGCCAGGTCCCTGGGGCCCCTCATTCTGCTTACAGGGGGGCAGGGATGGTTCAGGCATCTGGCCCCAGGCCAGGTCCAAGGTTCTCACCACTGGAAGGCCTCACAGCTGTGGAGGTGAGGCTGGGAGGGATGGGGTGTGACTTACCCAGGATCATAGCAACTACAGGTGTGGGCCAGCGCTTGGTCAGGTTCCATGGTACCCTGGAAATTACACAATTTGGAGGTTCCCTGAGAGGCTCGAGGCCTGGCTTCCCTTTTTTTGGCTCAGTATGCTCAGTTCCTCCTCGCCAAGCGCTCTCTCCAGCTGTGTGTGGCCTGCAGGGTTCTCACACATATCCTAGAAGTATGTTCAGATCAATGTAGCTCTGGGGCTTAGAGGCACAGGCTCTGGGGCAAGCAGGCCTGGATTTGATCCTGTCACAGAACTTTCATTTATTTATCCTTTTTTAAAATCTTTTTTCCCCCAAATATATTTTTATTGACTTCAGAGAGGAAGGGAATGGGAGAGAGAGAAACATCAATGATGAGAGAGAATCATTGATTGGCTATCTCCTGCATGCCCCACCCTGAGGATCAAGCCTGCAACCTGGGCAAATGCCCTGACCAAGAATCGAACCACGATCTCCTGGTTCATAGGTTGATGCTCAACCACTGGGCCACATTAGCTGGGCTTATTTATTTATTTATTCTTACATCAAATATTTGCTACCAGGCACTGGGGACACAGCAGCTGACAAAACAGATGTAAGTCCCTACTCTCATGGAGTGTACATCCTAGTGGGGGAGGCAGAGGGTAATACGATAGGAAGTAAAAGAAAATATATAGCATGTCAGACAATGATTTGTTATGGAGACAGAGGGAGGGATGGAGAGAAGGCAACAGAAGATGGGGAGGAAGGAGTGCACTTTTAAATTGCATGGATAGCCCGACCAGCATGGTCCACTGGTTGACCTATGAACCAGGAGGTCATGGTTTGATTCCTCATCAGGGCACGTGCCATGGTTACGGGCTCCATCCCCAGTGTGGGGCGTGTAGGAGGAAGCCAACTGATGATTCTCTCTCATCATTGATGTTTCTATCTCTCTTTCCCACACCCTTCCTCTCTGAAATCAATAAAAATATCTTTAAAAAAAAACACACTAAACAAATGAACAAACAAAAACCTCATAAATACAGAGAACAAACTGATAGTTGCCAGGAGGTTGAGTAGTGGGCAGATGGGCAAAACGGTGAAGGGGATTAAGAGGTACAAACTTATAAATAAACTAGAGGCCCAGTGCACGAAATTCATGCACGGGGGGGGGGGGTCCCCTCAGCCTATCCTGCAATGACGCAAGCATTTTGCGCCCAGCCTGGCCAAAGGCATTCCGCGGCCGGGCACAGAACGCAAGTGTTCCCCCCTCCCCCCGGCCAGCTGCTCCGTGCCTGCTGCCCAGAGGCCCTCCGTGGTTGCAGCAACAAAGCAAGCATTCCGCCAGGCCACTCATGGTGCCTGCTCTCAGCAGCCGCCCCCCCCACCCCCGGGACTGGGGGACTTCGGCAGGGCCACCATCTTGTGGCTATGGGAGCTACCATTTTGTGACGGAATGATGGTTAATTTGCATATTACCCTTTTATTAGATAGGATAAGTCACAGAGATGTAAAATACAGCAGGGGAAATACATCAATATCTCAATACCTTTGTATGGTTACAGATGGTTACCAGACCATCTATCTGGTTAGGAATATAAATGTCAAATCACTACGTTTGCACTTGAAATTAATATAATATGGTATGTCAACTATCCTATATAATAAAAGCCCAGCAATCATACTGGCAGACCACTCACCCGTCACTATGAGGTGCACTGACCACCTCTCAGTCCCTTTTCCCCGGCTGACAGGCTCCCAACACCTGATGGCAAACAGGGACCTGGGGGATGGGTGGCAGGGGATGCAGGTGGTGCCAGGCCAAGGCCCCCTGTCCTATCGGTTGCCCCACACACAGAGAGTGACCCACGATGGGGGCAGGGCCACAAGCGGGCAGGACCAGCTTACCTCTCAGTCCTTCCACCCACCCCCTAGGCCGTCAGGCTCCGATCGCCCAATGGCAAACTAGGAACCCGGGTTGGGGGTGGTGGGGGGTGGGGCAGGCTGTCGGCATCTGGGGAAGAGGCTTTGATTGCAGGCTAGGCCTAGGGACCATACCCATGCATGAATTTTGTGTGCCGGGCCTCTAGTACTTTAATAAAAAGGCCTTTATATTCCAGAATAGAAGAAAGTAGAGCCACCTGGATTTACGAATGTGGATAGTGAACTGTGACAGGAAGAGAGAAGTTGAGGATTTTGGCCAGGGTAACTAGAAAGGTACAGCTGCCACTTACAGAGATGGAAAAGCCTTAGGGAGGGGCAGGTTTGGGAGGGAGAGCAGCCATCCATCTGCGGTGTGATTCTAGGTAAGTTGCTTAAGCACGCTGAACCTGTTTCCTCATCAATGGGTATAATAATCGCTCCCTTGCAGAGTGGTGGTGAGAATTGAGAGAGATCATGAACTCACAGCTTGGCCCACGTGTGTACCCAGTACCCATTCCACCCCTGGCCCAGGGCTGACACATGGCCATCACAAATCTTCAAGAAGACACTGGAAGGAGAGGAAAACAAGGCCTATAAAGCTCAACTCTGGCCGAAACTGGTTTGGCTCAGTGGATAGAGTGTCGGCTTGTGAACTGAAAGGTCCCAGGTTCGATTCCGGTCAAGGGCATGTACCTGGGTCGCGGGCACATCCCCAGTAGGAGATGTGCAGGAGGCAGCTGATCGATGTTTCTCTCTCATCGATGTTTCTAACTCTCTATCTCTCTCCCTTCCTCTCTGTAAAAAATCAATAAAATATATTTTAAAAAAAAGCTAAACTCTGGCTCCTGCTTCCTCCAGATAGAAATGGAACAGGCCCTTTAGATGTTTAAGTTTTCTTTCTTCAAGGTCTTTGAGGATTTTGGAACTGTGATGCTGCCAGTGGAGGCTGGTGGTGAAGCAATGATCAATGGTCATATTCCCAAGGCTAGGTTAAATTTTATGAAACACTTTCACAAACTATTATCTCACCTGAGTCCAAGAAGGCAGAAATTATGTCCATTTTATGCAGAGAATGAGGTACACATTTTAAAACAAAACTGTGGGGCGTGGCTACGGTGTTCTGGCCAGGTTCAAGCCTCGGACTAATGAAACGACAGGAACCTCTCATTGCCACGTGCAAGTCCCAGCTGGAGGGCAGGGCCCCCCCAGCACAATCATAGCCAACGGCTGTGGTTGTAAGCTTGAACCTATGGTCCAAACACGTAGCCCCACATGCCTTGTGCTAGAGTTCAGGTGCATGTAGTTGAGTGAGGTTGGAGCTCACGAGAATGCTGTAAACGACGTGATCACGCCCCTACTTTGCCTCATGGCATCTGCTATAAAATAAAGACACGGCTTGTGGGCGCTGTCGTTGCCTCCTCATCAGGGAAGCAGCGTCCCACCGAGACCCAGCTATTATTCTCTTGTCTGTCTTTTCCTTAATCCTTTCACCCCCCCACTCGGGATCGCCCTTGGTCATGCAGCCACACAAAACAAACCCAGGCTATCTCTAGATCTTGCTACCATGTGGAATTTAATTTAATCTTGGGGTTGGGGTTGTGGGGGAGTAGGTAGAGAAGAGGGTCCTGAAGTGGGTATTCCTCTTCCTGTTCCTCAGCTGGAGTGCCGCCCAGCTCTTTCCAACTGGGCCCAGCTGTGAGATGGACGGTGACCCCACTCCTCTGCCCCATGGGAGGGCCCACAAGTGCTTGCCGAAGTCCTGTTCTAGCCCGCTCTGAGCATGCCTGGTGTGTTTGGGCTGCTGCAGTATTACTGCTTCTAAGATTTGGGCAAGTGGGTCTCAGACACAGTCCCGCTCCAGTTACTCCTCCCAGGTCGTCCCTCACCTCCAACCCCCCGCCCAGGTACTAAGGTAACTGAGGAGGGGACCGGAGCCCGAAGAATCAGCATGCATACAGCCACATCATTACAAAGTGCAGGCTGGGTTCCGTCTCTGAGGTCTGAACCCAGCCAGGAGAATTCCTGCATCTGTTCCTTCCACTTCTTGCAGCCCAGCTGCCCCCTCCCCTCCAGATACCAGGTGCCAGCACACAGCTGTCTCTTCCTTGCTCCCCCCACCCTGGCAAGTTGTCCTGGGTTGGGCTGAGCTGGGTGGGGCAGCCCTGTGTACTGAGTGTCCTGGGAGGCTGTGTCCCCACAAGCTAATTCAGCCAGAGCACTGGTCCTGACTGGTAAGAGTTGTTGCCCCTGGGGTGGGGGTTTGGGAGGGTAAGGAGTGTCAGGTCAAGCTGGATCAAGGTCCCACAAAAGAAAAGTTAGAATTGCCTGGGGAGGAACTTCTGCTGGATTGAGGGAGAAGGAATGGAGAATGTCCAGAGAGTGTGTGCAAGAGGAGAGGGTGACCAGGGAAGGGAGGGGTGCAGGGAACTGTGGGAGCCCTGGAGGCTGGGAATGGCCGGCTGTCGGCCCTGGTCCCAGCTTTCCCCTACAGGGAGAACCTTCCTGCCCCAGCTACCTCGCCAACAGAAAGGGCTTCAGGAAAACAAAAGGGACCCATGAATTGAGGTCTGGGAGTGTGATGGTAGAAACCGGAGGGGGTGGGAATTCTGCCCAGCACCCCATGTCTTTGCAGGTGAGGAGGGAGCAGGAGAGGCAAGCCCAGATTCCGGATTGCCTTCGAAGTCACTGTCCCGGCCATGCCCGCCCCGCTGCTCCCGCTCCTGCTTCGAATGCTGCTGTCCCGCCTGCTGCTGCCCGCCGCCCGCCTGGCCCGCCAGCACCTCCTGCCCCTGCTGCGTCGATTGGCCCGCCGCCTGGGCTCCCAGGACTTGCGTGAGGCTTTGCTGAGCTGCCTGTTGTTCATCCTCAGCCAGAGACACCAGCCAGACACCGGAGAGGCCTCCAGAGTGGCCCGCCCTGAGAGGAGGGAGAGGTTAGCCCCCCAAAAATGAGGCCACGAGTCCTGCTAGCAGCAGGGACGAACTGCTTTCTTGTGGAGTACGACGGTCCTGGCACCATCACTGACCGAGGCCTGCCCAGTGGGCATTAGCCGGGGTTCGGGACTGAGCATGAGACGCCTCTGAACAAGCCTGCCTCCCGGCCCCAGCAGCAATGACTGGCACCAGGCCCCCCATCTAGCAGAAAACTGGTCTTCACCTCCTCCCTGCACCCCTCAGGGCCTCTCCTCATCACCGGGGGCCTCCGCAGGGCAAGGAGCAGCTCTCCCCACCTCCTTACCCCAGACAAGCGGGGGCATGTCCGGGGAGGGACACCGCTTAACCAGGGACAACTGACCATTTAGTGGAGAGGCAAGATTTTAACCCAGATTGTCTTCCCGGCTGAGGATTTACCTTAAGAGCATGAAACCTTGATTCCCCAGAGACTCAGCCCGCCCCCAAAGCCCAGCATGCAGCAGGTGCTCAGTAAATATTTTTGAATTCCTGGGGTGCCTTTGACATTCTTATCAGCCACACTCAGGAGGCCTGTGCCTGTGCTGCCTGACAGTCTCACCTGGCCCGGGGCTGAGGGTGAGGAACAGCTCCAGGCTTCCTCCCACCCGACTCCAAGGAGCCTGTGGGGCCTCGCCTCCCGGAAGCTGTTCCTCTTTTCTCACTGCAGTGGGCCCCACGCCCGCCGCAGTGCTGGCCTCTTGGCGACAGTGTGGTTGTGAGGAGGACAATGTCCTGACTGCGTTCGGAGCCGTTCTCAGCTCCTGGTGGCGGAAGAGGGAGGTTTGTTGGCTGAGGGCAGCAGTGCAGAATGCCTGCTCCTGAGGGGCACTCTGCCGGCAGAGGAGGTGCTGCTGGGGCGGCGGGAGGGGGGCGGGGGGGGGGGCCCCCCCGAGGAACTCACCGCTTCATTTCCTCCTCCCCAAGGGGACTTCCGTCAGAGGTCGAATGAGAGTTGTCAGATGTACTAGTATTTGCATCTCAGCCTCCGGATCATTTGTTTAGGGTCCTCCAGCGAGAGTCCTCCCTCCCTCCTCCTTCCACAAGCTCTGGGGCCAGAGGGGCACAGCAAGGAATAGGGGCGTCTTACAGGACCCCCTCGTGTCCCCACACCCGCCAGAAGCCAGGGCCAGGGGAAGGCCTGAGGCCAGAGCTGTGAGCCTCGTTCCTGCCCTGCGGGCTCCCCGCCGGGGCCCTGGGCTTCCTTCTGGGTCCTCCAAAGCCAGCGCTCGTGCGCGCCCCCCTCGGGCAGGCGGCCTGCGGGGAGGAGCGGGGTGCAGGGGGTGAGAGCCCCTTGTCCCCTAACCTGTTCCCCTCCGGGGCCACGGGAGCCTTCCCCCCCACCCCTATTTTCTGCGCCGGGCCTTGCTGCCGGCCTCCCCGGAGCGCTCCCGGCTACCGAGCTGCGCGGGCGGGGACAGAGCCGGGAGCTGGGGCGGGCTCGGATCGCGGGTCGCAGCCCTTCTCCCGCCCCGGCGGAGACCGGCCAGACCCGGCGCGGGCTGCGGTTTCCGGCTGCGGCCCCTCTCCCGAGATGAGGAGGCCGGGAGGGCGACCAGGGTCATGCGGGCCCAAGGATTTCCTGTCCATCCCCTCCGCAACTCCCGACGCCCCTCCCAGGCCCCCGCAGGTGTGCGGGGAGCAGAGGCGGGGCGGGCGGGGTCTGCGCGGGTCCCGGCCCCCCGGAGGCGGAGGGTGAGCTAGGTTCCTGCTGGAGGTGGGACAGCCACGGGTGGGAATCTGCGGTTTCCGGCGGAGGGCATACCTTTCTGGGACTTTGCCTCAAACACAGACTGACCACGCAAGGTCAGAAGCCCACCCAGGGCAGAGGAAGGGGCAAAGGTGTGAGAAATTAGGCCAGAAGGGCACGCCCAAGCCCCTGTCCACTCTCAAGGAAGGTGAGGCGAGTCTGACCCTGCGAGGGCCAGATCCCGTCTTTATTTTAAATGTTGATGTTTTGTTCATGGATGTTTTTCATTTACTAGGATTTTTAAAAAGTATTTCATGACAATATTATTCATCTTGATTCCTGACTTTTTTGGCAGCATCCCTTCCCCTCCCCACCCCCCCCACCCCCCCTTTAAATGTTGCATCTCAGGCAAGTACCTCCCGGGCCTTGCCCTAGTCCCAGCCCAGCCATGGAGGTGCAGTCACAAACACAACTAAGAACGCACACAGTCGTGAGGCATGTGCTGGGGACAGAACGCTGGGCTCAGCCAACATTTCCAGCAAACAAGGCTGGAGGGAGGCCGCCTGGGGTGAGGCGGGCTTGGATGGAGTCTGGGACAAGCCACAATTTCAAATAGGGTCCCAACCCACACCTGAGCCAGGGACCTGAAGGAGCCCAGAAAGGGGCTTGAAATACTCCAGGCACAGGCTGGGTGAGTTGGGCTCTGAGGCTGTCCAGCAGAGGGCCTTGGCATCCAGCAATCATCTCTGCCCAGAGAAGTGGCTCTGGAGGGCTACCGGTGCTGGCAGGGGGCCCAGGCAGGGCGAGTGCCAGATGGGCTTGTGTCCAGCCATAACAGCCCTGGCTGTTGCCATCTAAGGAACAGGCCAGGCTTGGAGGGGGCGGGGGGCGTGGGGGGATGGAGAGAGGAACCGGCCCTCCCCGGTCTGGCCTAGAACCCTCACCACTTCCCTCCAATTTCTTTCCAACTCCAGCCTCCTTTGCACACAACTGCAGCCATTGGCCACCAGCCTAGCCATGCCTGGCAGATCTGTCTGACCACTAAGGCCTGCCACCCCCATAGCTCCAAAGCTGGTCAACAGAGGTGGGGAAAGAGACAGGGGCCAAGAAAGAGGGGAGAGGCGGGCCTGGAGAGGAAGAGAGAGAGACTGGACAAACACAGGGTAGGAATGGAGATGCAGTGTCAATCCCCATTAAGCCAGGGTGCAGTGCCTAGAAAAATACCACCAATACCCCTCTTCCTGCCCTCTGTTTGGTTAAGACTGGGGGATGATGGTGTGTCATGTCTCTGGGACAAGCAGCTCGAAGGCTGGCAACACCCTTCTGGAGTAGCCTGGGAGTGTCCACTGATCCTTGAGTGGCAAAGCTACTCCTCCCCTGGGGCACAGTCTGATCTGGGGAGAGGGTGTGACTCTCCCATCCCTAAGATATTAGTACTCCTAATTGTTAATTAGTGTCTGTGGCTTCCCCAGCAGACAGGCCTCTTGGGCCGAGGGGGCGAGGTTGGGGACTGCATTGGATTTTCCGTCTTCGGCACCTCTCTGCCTTTGGATTGTCCTCCAGCACTGAGAGCTGCTGTAGGGGCAGCGATTCCCCTTCCCCCAGATTTACTAACCTGCAAAACTGCAGGGGACCCCCTCCCCCTCCCTTGTAGGTACTCAGACCGACCACTCCTCAGCACGCCCACCCCCTCTTCCTCCGGTGGTGGAGGATGTGGGTCTCAGCAAGCTTCCGCCCCTGCCTGTCAGGAAATAGGATTCCTCAGGATGTAAGGCTGTTCCCGGCTTTTTCTCTTCCCATACCCAACTGTGCCTCCGTCTTTCCAAAGATCTGAATTTAGAAAGGGTGAATCATGAGGGGGCCACAGGGCAGCCTCCACCCATCACCGCACACACAGAGCCACACATCCCTCTCCGAGTCAGAGCTGTGGGTGGCGTGTTTGTGTGGATGTGGGCTGTGTGTGTTAGAGGGGAAAACAGGTCCCTGATTATGCCCATGTTGTCGGAGGCATCCCAGGGCTGAGTGGGGTCGAGGGCGGAAGAGCAAAGACCAGGTCAGGTGTGAAAGGAAGAAAGTGGCGCTGAAAAGGAGGGGTCCTGGAAGGAAAAGGGTGCAGTGTGGATGCGAGTGGCTGGGAGGGGCTTGGGGAGCGATAAGGGCACCGCCAGGCGCACTCAGATAGTGTGGAGCTGGGGGCGCCCGGGCCTGTCTGGCAGGTTTGTCGGTGGGAGAGCCCTGAGGGCAGTTGTGTAGGATGCGTGTAGCCCCAGCACCGGGGAGGTAGGGGACCTCCTGTGGGGCTGCACCCTCCAACGCCGCGTGCCCCTGGCTGGGCAGGGTTTGGTGCAGCCGGGGCCAGAGAGGTCCTAGCCCCGGAATAAGGCGAGGTGTGGGTCAGCGGCCCTGGGGGCGAAGGTCTTGGGGCGGGAGCCTCTGCGGGTCTGGCCGGGGCGGTCCGGGGCGGGGCCGCGCGGAGACGCGAGGCGGGGAGAGCGGCGAGGGGGGCGGAGGGGGCGGGCGAGGCGGGGCGGGGCGTGCCCGGGGTGGGCCGGGGGAAGGCGGGTTTGAATGCGCAGCGGCGGGCGCGGGAAGCGGCGTTAGAGAGCGGGGATCTCTGCGCAGGAGGACCCCTTAACTGCAGGTGCTGCCAGGGGCCGGGGGCCGGGAACTGGGGGGCCGGGGACCGGCGGAGCGGAAGGCACCGCTGTCCGCCGGCCACGAGGGCAGGGAGGCGGGGGCTGGCAGCTCCGCGGCGAGCAGCGGGGATGTCCTGTGGGGCCCCAGGCGCACCGTGTGTCTAGCCGCGCAGCACGTGGCGAGCCAGAGGGGTGCCGGAGGGCAGGAAAGGGGTGCCGCGTGGCAGAGGGACCCGAGCCGGGCGGGGGGACATGGCTCCTGGGCCTGAAGCCAGCTGTCGCGGAGCTGACCTCCGCAAAGGGCGGGCGGGCCCCGGTCATCTCCATGAATCTGGTGGGTGGAGGGGGGCGCCGGGCCGCTGGCGACGCCGGATGCGGAGAGCGGGGCTGCGGGCGCGCGGGGCAGAGGTGCGCTCTTTAGCCACCGCCTGTCATTGACCGGCTCGCGTCCCTAGGGTCCCCTTGCCGGATGCGTCCTCATTTACTCCCAGAGAGAGGACCCTTCCTTCCTCGGGGAAAGACACGGACGCACACCTTCGGGCCTCCTTCCCAGTGGAGAGTTGGCGCCATCCTGCCCCTCGCCCCTCCTGGGCGGCCCCTCTGCCCATTTCCCTGGTAACCTTTAGAGTCTAGGATGTGAGCAGGGGAGGGGCTGCCCCTGGGGTTGAATTGTACTCAGGACTGGGGTGGGTTTACTGAGAACAGAAAGCAGGGGTGTAGCTGAGGGAGAAGGCAGCGGTTCTCAACCTTCCTCATGCCGCGGCCCTTTAATACAGTTCCTCATGCTGTGGTGACCCCCAACCATAAAATTATTTTCGTTGCTACTTCATAACTGTAATTTTGCTACTGCTATGAATCGTCATGTAAATATCTGATATGCAGGATATATTTTCATTGTTACAAATTGAACATAATTAAAGCATAGTGATTAATCACAAAAACGATATGTAATTATATATGTGTTTTCCGATGGTCTTAGGCGACCCCTGTGAAAGGGTCTTTCTACCGCCAAAGGGGTGGCGACCCACAGGTTGAGAACCACTGCTCTAGACCCCCCCCCCTCTACGCCTCTACGCCAGGATGTGTGTGTAATGGAA